CCATTGGTGTAAAAACCAACAATACTATAAAATAAGCAATTAACGAAGAACAATCTTAAATCTAAAACAAAAAAAGAGGCGACTCTAAATTTTATAAAGAGAGGAATAAGATCGATTATATATAGCTTCTTTTATAGAGCTAGGGTTATGCCAACTAACAATTATTGATGRGCCTAAAGAAATAAAAGACCAAAACCCAATAGAAGTATTTTGATGGYATGAGGTGTAATTATATTAATTTTATTAAGGGTACCCTTGTAATCAACCACCCTCAAATTCATTCTGAGGGCGCCACGTAGGATTTCGCACTTCATATATAATTATATAGATGGGCCCATTGGGGCATGGTTTTGTTTTTGTCAAAAATGGTTTTAAATTATTGAATGAGAAATGAGATTAGCACATTATTAATGTCCCACATCGATTACAATGGGCATTTTAGTGTGATTTATAAAGGGCCAAGCATTAGTAGTGTTCAAAAACTAGAACACACATGCACCATGGAAGAGGTTAAGAAAACACCACACGCGCACCAAATCGGGCTAAGTCGAGCGATATTTTAAATTAAGGAAAGAGATTTATCTCACTTTCTTGAGGTGGTAAATCGTTTCTTTCCATAATATAAGTTGCAGTCTCATTTCCGGATATAACAATATTTCCTTTTGCTTCTGTCTCCTAATTTACAACAAACTTTTAAAAGCAACTTATATTATATTTACTTTACTGACTAATTAATTCCATTTGTCCTGGCTCTTGATTGCTACCTTACCCGGCGACATACTTGGTTGCTGCTTATACTGCTGTTGTTTCTCCTGCAGGTTTGTTTTTAAGATCGAGAGTCAACTGATAAACGATTTGGCATATTTTATGTTTTTAAAACTTTGGTAGATTGTGTAATCCTGAAAGCCTGGAGTAGAGTATCAGTCTGGCAATTGATAGGTTGCAAGCTGCATTAATGACCATCCTCTCATGGGATCGTATGGCAACTTGCAAGTCATTGATCAAAGTTCAAAGATGAGAAGCAGAAACGAGAATAAATAAACAAACCCCGCTAATAATTAGAGACAATAGAAATAAAACAAGTTTGATTCATGTAACAGGTCGATAACCAAAATATGGATGTGGTTGGTCGATCGCCCAGAAGGAAGTGATATATCGGTGAATCTCAGCTGCAATATCAAAAGACAAAACATCCATCAAGAATTAATTTGTTACAAAGAAACAAGAATCATTAACATAACAGCAAATTCATGGTCATTTTACCGACGGATAGTACTACGAGGCATCTTCAAACATAGTATCCTGTCGCCACAGTAAGGTGTGTCCTCACCCTTTCGAAAACAACGTGTTGGACAACGGTCACACCCATAAAAGTTCGCATAGCCATAGAATTCGTCATTATCCGTAGCCAACGATACCTCAAGCTCCTTTCCTCCCATGTAACTTCCACTTAGTGCCAACGCCTTGTCATTGCCTAGACCTAAATTGAGATTGATGAATGCTAATCTGCAACTTTCAAGTCAATCGTTAGTTTTACAAGTTACTAGATATAGTAAATGTCACAAAATTGGAAGAGTTTTTAAAGTCACAATTACCCTAAGGGGAGAAGTTTTTCACACTCGTTGGGAACAAAAACCCTTGCGAACTCTCCACAAGAACCGAAAATGTTACGCAAATCCTTCATGATTTCATCCCTTGGTCGCAGGTTATCAAATCCCTTGACGCATATGGTTTCACTACATTCCCCAGGATAAACTTTGCAATCGGAACAAGGATATTTCGGAATCTCTTTTTTCTTTGGGGTTTCTTCTTCCTTTGTCTTTGTGGTTTCTTTCGATTCCTTTAGAATAAAAAGCAAAATATAAATGATAAGTGTAAAGTTTATCACTTCTCAACCTACAAAAACAAAAATACAACAGCTATAAATAAATAAACAACTTCAATGAAACCTCTAGAAGATTGGCTTTTGTCGGTAGAATCTCTTGTAGTTTTTTCACAACTTCAGACAGATCTTTGATAGATTTCTTCATTTCATTGAATTCCTAGCAAAAAAAAATCATACATAAAAGGCCCCAGTTTCAAGAATTACAAGACAAAACTTTTACTTACAGTTTTCGAGACAATTTGTTCATCTTCATGATCACGTTTCTGCAAAAATCAACAAAAACATGCATGGTGATTTAATAAAACAGCATATATATAAACAGACCTCGTAATAAAGTGAATATGAACAACCGCTCAATCTAACCTCAGATTTCTCCTTGCGCTTTTTCAGATTTGCTTTGCTCCCTGAACAAGGCTTCATCATCATGCTCTTACCTAATACATAAAGACACAAGAAATCAAGAAAAAACATTCGATCCAAACAAGATATTCAGAATAAAGGTGGAAAAACAAAAATCATTCTAACCAGATTTTGAAGAAGAAGAAGCATTACAAGTCTTCTGCTTCTTGGCTTCACGATCATCGTTGTGCTTGTTATTGCCCATTGGTGGCCGAGAAGAAGACCTAGACCGCTTATTTAACCTATTTTTTTGTTATAGTTTGGGCTTTTGGGCTTTATTGGGCCATGATCTTACTAAATAACATAGTAAATCGGCTTCCCACAAACATCACTTAGTAATCTAGTCCTGGTAATTTTATCCGATCCGAGTTTTTGTAATTTCGGTTTATGTTCGGTTTTTGGGAAGTACCCATTCGGCAATATTTAAAATGAGTTCGGTTCGGTTATCACTAACCGAATGGATAACCGAAATTTTCTAAACCTTAAAAAAAATCTATTACACATCTTTATCTCTTCTCTTCATCTCACCATACGATCTCTTCAACGACACGTCGTGCCATCATTTTGCCATCTTCACCATTTAATTCGTCTGGTTTTCTCTATGTGTAAGCTATTGTTGAAGAAGCGGCGGCACAAGCATGTAAACTTAGGTTTTGTATAAGAATTTTCAATTTAATTGGGCTTTATGTCTAATTTGTTATTATTTTTCAGCCCATTTATGTATAATTATTATGAGTTTGTTATTTTTGGGCCATTCAATTTAGAAAACATCCAAAAGTTAAATAACCGAAATTATAAAATAAAACCGAATAAACCGAATTTATCCGATTAACCGAATTTGGACAAAAAGTTTCAGATTTTCCGAAAAATATCAATAGTTTCAGTTTGTTCGTCATAATTTTTATAAT